TTAAAAATTGGTAAAACATTATTAAGAGTATACTCGAACTACAAATATCTTACAATCATTAAATGCTAGTCTGACCTTAATTCCACCTGTATCAAATCACCTATCACAGAATGCTAGAATGGTTTAGTTAACCTAAGGGTGATCACAGGACCAGTTAAAGGTCAAATGGTAGATGATCTTGTTGAAAGGAGATCACCTGTCAACAGTCATTAACATAAGTACATAAAGGTGTTTCATCAATGCGCAGCATCAGTATATAACTTTAAAAAGCTAGTGTTGCTTGGACCCTTCAAAGTACATCTTTAGAAACTAAAAGTGATAAAAAATGGACAGTTCTGTCCTGCAAGATGCTGCCCAGTTGGTTAAAAGCAACTCTTTCATTCACAATAATCACACCCAACCATCTGTGTATCTTGTGTGTAATATATAATTAGACCCAAACTAGACTAGGCAGAGACTTATGATTCGAAATCTACCCTTGGCTTCTGCATAAAATACATAAAATCAGTAAAAATATCACATAAAAACAATTTTTAATAAGAGTTCAATTTCAGTAAAACATTTTTTGTTACTCTTAATAAAACTATGCTCTTTAACACAGAATTATGCCTGCCCCCCAATAAGGTCCCAGAAATGTATATTAAGATCTATTTGAAACAAATGGAGTCCTAGTGTGGCGCTGTGGATTAATGCGTCAGGCTGCAAAGCCGTTTGAACTGCAAGGTCGGTGGTTCAATCAAGCTCACCAGCTGCTCCTAGGAAACCCTATACAGGGTCACTGTGGGTCAGAATCGACTCGATGGCACTTAACAACAAAAACACTTGAAACAAATGGTAACACACCACTTATTTGCCTCTACTCAAATTATAAAAGGAAAATAAATGTACTTGAAAAGAATGTAAATGAAATTTACTCCCATTCATCAGTATTTTCCTGAATTAGCTGGAATTTAAAGAACTGCTTTTCTTTGAAAATGCGTAATTAAAGGGGAATTTTACAAAAAATACAATTTTAATAAAGAGAAAATAGGAGCGCAAGTTATATAACTCCTTTCTCTCTCTCATCATCGCCCCAAATCTTTAGTATGTAAGATCATTTTCTTCTGTTATTCCTCACAAATATTTTTCACATTCAGAATGAAAACATCTTTAGGTTATCTCTTCAAGTTGTTCTTTCCCTTTTCTCTATTCTGCTTAAGATTGTTGGCAGGCATAATGGATTTCCTTAAGGTAACATTAAAACACTTGCTTTCATACATTTTTGTTTTATATCTTAAGGAGCTCTGGTAGCGTAGTGGTTATGAATCGGACTGCTAACCTCAAGGTCGGCAGTTTGAAACTACCAGCTGTTCTGCGGGAGAAAGATGAGACTTTCTGCTTCCGTAAAGATTTGCAGCCTTGGAAACCCTGTGCAGGGTCACTATGAGTCAGAACCGACTCCACGGCACATAACAACAACCTGAGATACCAAGGCCCATCCATGAACAACAAAAAAAGTGGCTATCAGAGGTTACTTTTAAGCAACACTTAAATACCCTTCTCTTTGAGCCTCAAAACTACTTGTTACAAAAGTTACATATGAATATTTAATGGTCAATGGTTTCAGAAACCAACTTCATATGGAATGACATTCTCTCATGCACATGGACCCAACATAAAACACACATACATACCCACTACTCTCTCATTCTCACAAGCAAACATACATACATATTCTTTCTTTCCAGAACAAGTCAGAATTACAGCTCTTTTGGTGATTGTTATAATTTTTGGAATGGTTCATAAATTTTCCAAATTATTTTAAATTCATAATACTTTTTCTTTTCTTTTTTTTTTTTCAATTGTGAACCATTCCATATTGCATCTTTATTGCAAAAGTCAACATGCTTCTTAGAAATTCAGATTGTAATCGATAAAACAAACATTACATATATGAATTTAAATGTATAAACAGTTAGAAATTCAACAATATCTCCTATTATACTATTACACAAGTTCACAATTTTGTAAAAACTATAATACAGGCATTCTATACATCAAGAGGAACCACTAATTCCTTTTCACATGATTTTTTCCTTCATTTTGAAATAATGATCCAACACCATGGACTGTTTTCACTGTAACAGGACCATGTTTTCCAATTACCTTCTTAGCTGGTAACTATGTTTTCCCAATGTTACAACATGAGGAAACTGAGGGAAATTCTGCACTTTCCTGGAGTTACCTTTTAAAATATGGGCAATAATCCACTAGTAAATCAGCTCATCTAGATGGATTGATATGTTTTTTTTTTTTTGCTATTGTTAATCAATTGTTCATAAAGATGCCTCAAATGTTATATAGAAGAACAGCAGAATTAGCCTCAAATTCTTTACGTTATTTCTGTAAGTGAAGATGTCAAGAAAGTAAGTCATGGTAGTTTTTGTTTTTAAGACAAACTCTTTTAACACTTGAGGATTTTGAAGGTGCATGTTACAAATCTCAAAGGGGGGGGAACATTTATATGTAACTGTATTATGCTAATATGCACTTAAATTTTCTAGTATTAGAATTAATCCATATTTTAAACTCATTTTTGACGGTAAGACAAGTTTTGAAATTCTTAGAAATGGCACTTCTTAACTATTTTAGTCCTAAAGTATAAGGAAAACAAAGTTTCACACAAAGGATTTCAAACTTAATGAAACAGTCTGTTCTTCACCTTAACACCTTTCTCTCATTCTTTCCCCCTCCTACCCACCAAATAACTAAAAAATCAAACAAATCGTCAACTCTCTATTGAGAGGATAATAAGATGTCAATTTTGAGGTTAAAAAATCATATGAAAAGGAATTTCATTCGGATGAACTGTCAGTGTACTGAAAATTTTCTTACAGTTCCATTAATTTACTGTAATTTTCAGTTTCCAAATACAAAAATACAACAATTCTTATTGAAATCTATACGCTGGTAGTTTTAGTACACAAAAAAACAAAAACAAAACAAAAAAACAAAACAAAGCAAAAAAAAAAACAAATTATTTACAAAATTATACAGTTTAAGAAAAAACTTTGTACAAAAAATATATAAATCCTTTGTTCCCTCTATCACGTTTAAACTGTCAGGACTCAAAATATTCACCACAATAAATCTTTCAAAATATATACTGACTGAGCCACAGACATCAAGAAAATTTCATTAGAGATGATGGAGGAGGATGGAGCAAGACTGCTTATTCTAGGTACCCCATTCTTGTGTTTTTCTTCTTTTCTAAGCTTATTTTAGCTTCAGTGTTATCAGAAATAATATAATAACCTAGAAAGAAAAAGTCCTTATTGTATATGAAGAAAAAATTATATGAACTTAAAAATGATCCTGGTTTGAGACATCATTCCAAAAAAGAAAACAGATGATCAGAATGTGGGATTTAACGTCTTATAACTAAGTAAATCTAGAGTCCTGATGGTTTTAAGTTTCTTAGTGAATAGTTTCTATTTTGAGAAACAGTCTTTACCTCAGGAAATAAAATCCTTGATATAGTGATCACCAAGAATCTTCTGAAGCCAACAGGTAATTTCAAATGTTCACACTACACTTTTATAAAAACACAGATGTGTATATCCTTGAAAAAGTGGCATTCTATGTACATGAATCACTTTAGTTCCCCAGGGGTCAGTACAGTGTAGTGTTGCTCCTCTACTTTTCCATCTAACATTCAGAACACAAGGACATAAATTTACATATATATTTTACTTAACAGATAATCTACTCTATACAGTGTACAGTAAAAATGCACACAGTGAAGGAAATTGTTTACTGAAGGATGTGTATGTTTATGGATAGCAACAAGCTACAAAATTATGAAAATATATGGGCGTCTGATTAGAGTCAAGTTAGGACTCTCATTTATTTCTAGTATGCCCATCCCTCTATCCCACCCACAGCCCCACTACCAGCCACCTAACCATCACAGCTTAAATTTAGAAAAAGAGTTTCATATCCTTTGAAACCATTTTGTATAACTATAACGAAACTGAAGTTAAAAAAAAAAGTCAGTGGCACCCCCACCCCCAAAAATAATCCTTCCATTATTCTAAATATAGCACTTATTTATTAAGGTACTGATTCAAACCTTTCACTGGGATTGGCTTTTGGTGGCCCAAATGAGTCACTATAATAATGGGTACGTAGGCCTATGAATAAAAGGATTGGGGAAAGAAAGTGGGGTGGGACAAGAAAGGGATAACTAGTAAAAGTCTTTTGCATTTTGAGAATGTTGAAAAAAAAAGGACAACTTGAACCAATGCTCTCCAAGCATCACAGCAAACCAGTGATTCGGTAGCAAGGTAAGTCCAGGAGTTACTGTGATGAGAGAAAAAAACCAGAAGGGAACTAATGGCTTTTACCTAGAAGCATCTGAGTGTGAGGAATTTGCTGTGATCCACACTGAAATAGTACTGTCACACACACACACAAAATGCTGAAAAAAATTTAGACTCAATACAAAATGGGCTCCTCCAGTTAAAAAAATAAAAAAGAAATTTTACTTTTCTTCCAAGATAACTCTCAAAAGCAAAAGGGTATTTTAATTTAAAATAGCTCCTACTGTCAGACAAAACATCCATAATAGCTGAGAGTTAAGAGATTCAGGCAATTTTGACATTTAATGAGATTTTATCAGCATATTATAACCCAAAATAAAATTTCTGAACACCCTGTCATTTACATCATAATCCAACACCAATAGCAACAAAAACAGGTGGTGTGGGAAATAAGGCTCTAGAGATTATCCATGTCTTTCCTGTGGATCTTCACAACTGTTTAAAAGTCACTAGGCCTTTGGTGCTTTAATATCATGTACAGTTATGAGATGTGTTTAAATAGCAAACTTGCTGTCCTTAAACTACTGTGTTGAAAAGAAAAATAAAAAAACATTTTTGGCTCATTGACGTCTTTAAATAATTTTAAAAAGTTGTTCTTCTAAACAATATTCCTAAAAATTATACAGCTCGCATCAGATTTCATCTTCGCCATGAACGTGACTCATATTCATCTTCATCTTCATCATCATCGTCATGCAAAAACAAATCTGAGGTTTCGGTTTCCTAAAGAAAGTGAAAGAAAAATTTAGTGATACAAAAATGTTAAATAAAATACTTTTAATCAAAGGAAAAATAGAATAATTGGTATACAAAGCCCAGGCTGGATTTACAAGTGCGAAACCCTCTATGATCTTAGCAACTCGACGGCACTTAACAACAACATGGTGTGGCACTTCAGGAAAACACACTGGTCTGCAAAGTTGGTCTGAACTGCAAGGTCAGAGGTTCAAACCCACCAGTCGATCCTTAAGTGCTGCTGAGATGGTTCCCACTCATAGCAACCTTGTATAGGGTTTCAGAGTAGCGGATGCTGGATTTGAACCACCAACCTGTGGTTAACAGCCCAGTGTTTATCCTATTAACACCACACCAGGACTCCAACTGCTATAATCAGAGCAAAATAAAAATTATTTGTACATATAAATTCTCCTCCCCATTGCTGATTCTGCTATTTTTAATAGGACAAGAATTCTATTCTAACATCACCAGAAAAATGAAATAAAATATGGATGTCTAATATGAGAAACAAAAAGATGTAATCTATTTATTTTATTATAGTCCATTAACTTAAAAATGTAAATAAATGACTACTCGCAAACTTCTAACTTTTATTATCCAAACTCTTTGGGAGGGGTGATTATACTAACTTTAATATGGTATGTTGTTATTAAGTACTATTCAGTTTCAACTCATAGAGACTCTATATAACTGAAGTCTGGTAGCGTAGTGGTTACGAATTGGGCTGCTACTTTCAGGGTCAGCTGTTCAAAACTACCAGGTGTTCCGCAGGAGAAAGATGAGGCTTTCTGCTCCTGTAAAGATTTACAGCCTCAGAAACCCTGTACAGGGTCTCTATGAGTCAGAACTGACTCCACGGCACATAACAACAAGCCATCACGTTAAGGGTGCATTAATTAAATGTTTGACTAAATACAGCAGGCTAATTTTTATGTTGATAATTTTGTAGGGCTGCAAATGATGCTGTTAATTTTGGCAGAAAAAAGGTCCCAGACCCTTGCTGTATAGGGTTTCCAAAGAGTGGCTGGTGGGCTTGAATTACGAACCTTATGGTTCGAATCAACCTTGTGGTCCAATGCTTATCTTACAGCATGCTAACTTATATAAAAATTTTATACAAAGTAAAATTATCTACAAATATTACCAAAACACCAAGATTTTTCTTTTAAAAAAGGGGGTGTATCTGCTTTTGTTATGGAAATTCTCAGTTAGAGGACAATTAAATAACCATAAATGCTAAACATCTTTTAAAACTGAAATTGTGAATCAAAAATAGTTGGCAATGCAGACCAAATGTTGATTTTTATAAACCAATTAATAAAACAGTAAAAATATGAAATGAATATTCATATATTTCAAGAAGCTGATTACTAGGTATTTATAATCTTTAGTTTTCTGTCTTCATTTTCATTTTCAACTTCTGCACATTTCATTTTAAACAATTGTACAGTAAGAAAAATAAACTCAAGTCTATTATTCATGGTTAAAATTTAATTCATTCAAGTAATACTTCTCCTCATTTATCAAAAAAAAAAGAGTTTTTTTCTATAACCCATAGTCTAAATGAATGCAAATTAAAAAAAAAAAAAAAAAGGCTCATAAATACCTGAAGACAATAAGCCCAGTAGGAGTTCTGGTATGACACTGCAGGATAATACACTGGATTACAAGATCGATTTAAACTGTAAGGTTGGCAATTCAAAGCCACCTTGGAAACCCCAGAAAGAGTTATTATAAGTCAGAATCGACTTGACGGCACTTAACAACATTTAATGCCAAGAAAAATATATAATTGGCAGATTATCTCTTTCAGTTCATTTTGAATCATTCAATTTACCTCCTCCTTGACTTCCTCTTCCTCGGTCTCAGTGGATATAGATGGTACCTTGGGCTTGTGCCATGATATTTGTAGTCGACGGTCTTTGAATTTTGACCCTTGGTTTGTAGCCTAAAATATATTTTAGAAGAACGCATAAATTTACATTGAATAATTACTCCTACTTTGTGATCTAACTTTTGTGCTATTATATAGTTGATTGGTGTTGGGGACAGAACATCTATTTAAGATGATCTGCAAACAATTTCCAACAAGTGATAGAACAAATAAAGTCCCTTTTAATTAGAGTGACAATATGTTCTGGTCTACTTGGGACAGTCCATGGTTTATATTCTATGTCCCAGCTTCACATAAATTTTAACAAATGTCTTCATTTGGATATTAAAATACATGGTCACCCTACTTACAATAGTCATGATGACGATAGCAAATAATTGTCTTAATTGTTAATGTCTAACTTAGGTATCTACATATTTAGACTCAAGTCTCATGTCTATTATCTCATCTCTTCCAAGCCTGCCTACATTAGGTAAAATTACCCTATTTCCTCTTCTGAAATGCTATACAGCAACAAGGACTCCATAGTTCATTTGCACATGCAACAAACATTAAACAAATGCTATTCTGACTCAAGGTAAAACTGCTCAGTCTCAAATGTGTTTCTTGGTATTACCTACTGAGCATTTTTTTCTTTCCCTCAGTAAATCACTATAAGGAAAAGCTACAGTTTCACTTTAAAGACAAAGCAACAGGAAAAAAGAATGGAGATCCAAAGTTTCATGAAAATGAAAACATAGTCATTCCTCTAGCTGCCCTATTTATAGTGCTATATTGCAGAATACCCTAATCCTGGGTGCAGCTCTGAAAAAACTAAGGGACTATAAGGGTTCTTTTAAATTTGGATTTCACTCTAATTTGTCTGGGCAAAATACTAAGAAACCTCATGAAGCATTTGCCATCAGAACACTAGGAAGACTGTGTGTAAGAGTGTATGCTACATGACTCAAAACAACATTGTTTCCTCAGCATACTGGCTTGATTTTGTTGTTGTTAAGTGCCGTTGAGTCGGTTCCGACCCATAGCGATCCTGTATAGAGTTTCCGAGGAGCAGCTGGTGAGCTTGAACCACCGACCTTGCAGTTTACACCAACCTTGCAGCCCAGCACATTAACCTGCAGCACCACACCAGGGTTGATAGGGACAAGAAATTTAGCACTGGCTATCAAAAACTGAGGGTGGGGTAGGGCCTACAATGGCCTGAAGTGGCAGGATTACAAGCTTGCATGAGTGTGCTTAATTGTAAAGTGGGGAGTGAGGGTTAGGGGTGGGGTGGGGAGAGACATACAGAGGATAAGAAAACAAGATCCTCCAATATTTTGGCTACAAGAGACATATCAACAAGATGGAAAAAGCCTAAATACCCATCAAAAGAAGAATGGCTAAACAAACTTTGGTACATATACACAACTGTTGTTGCTGCGGTTTAGTGCTGTCGAGTCAGTTCTGACTCATAGCAACTTGGTTTCTGAGGAGCAGCTGGTGGGCTTGAACTGCCAATCTTGTGGTTCGCAGTTCAGTGCTATTCTACAATGCCATACCAGGAGTCCTGATTAAAGACTCACGGTAAATCTGTAAAACAGCTTACAATACGGTTGGACCTGGACATCAAGCTGAGTGAAGTTGTTGTTGTTATGTGCCGTGGAGTCGGTTCCCACTCATAGCGACCCTACACAGGGTTTCCAAGGCTGTAAATCTTTACGGGAGCAGACCACCTCATCTTTCTCCCGTGGAACCGCTGGTAGTTTCGAACTGCTGACCTTGTGGCTCGCAGCCCGGTTCATAACCACTACACTACCAGAGCTCCTTGAGTGAAGTTAGTCAATCACAAAAAGAACAAATAGAAATCAATGTTTGTAAAAGAAGTTAAAAAATATATATAAATAAATAAATGGGGGGGTGTTCTTGATTAAAGAAACAATCTTGGGGAGGAGATAGTCTCTTTAACAGATGTTGCTGGCAGAAATGGAAAGTGATATGCAAAAGACTGAAACAAGACCTTTACCTCAACCCCTAAACAAAAACCAACTCAGCATGGATTAAAGATCTAAATGTGAATCCCAAAATTATGAAGGTCATCAATGAAAAAATAGGGACAAATGTTGAGGGTTATAATTCAGGGCATATACTGACACAAACAAAAGTAGACAAAATAGATGAATGGGACATACTAAAAATTAAAAACTCGTGTGCATCAAAAGACTTCACCAAAAGAGTAAAAAGGGAACACGCAGACTGAGAAAAAATCTTTTGCAACAACACATCACACAAGGACTTATTTCTAAAATATATAGGAAACTACAACACCTCCACAAGAAAAAGACAGCCCAATTAAAAAATGGGCACAGGACATGAACAGACACTTCACCAAGGGAGAGATCCGGAGAGCCAACAAACATAAGAAGAAACGTTCACGATCGATCACTAGCCATCAGAGAGACGCAAATCAAAACAACAATGAGATACCATCTCAGACCAGCAATAACAGCAAAGATCAACAAAGCAGAGGACAATAAATGCTGGGGAGGATGGGGAGAGACTGGGACCCTCCTACATTGTTGGTGGGATTGCAAAATGGTTCAACCTCTCTGAAAAGCAGCATGGAGCGTCCTCAGATGGTCGGAAATAGAAATACCTTATGATCCAGCAATTCCTCTACTTGGTATTTACCCACAAGAAATACGAGCCATAACGTGAGTAGATAGATGCACACCAATGTTCATAGAAGCACTATTTACAATAGCAAAAAGATGGAGAGAGCCTAAGTGCCCATCAACTGAAAAATGGATAAACAAACTGTGGTACATACACACAATGGAATATTATGCTACCTTGAAGAACAACAAGGAAGCCGCAAGCCACCACATGACATGGATGAACCTTGAGGACATTATGATGAGTGAAATTAGTCACAAAAGGAGAAATTCTGCATAGGACCATTATTGTAAAAGACTAAGAAAAAAAACCCACCCTAAAAGAGCGGGGGGGGGGGAATTATATATATATATATTTGTTGATCACCAGGATGTATAGGATGAGAGGAGGGGAGGGAAGGAGGGAGGGAAAAATTGAGCACAAGGTAGGGAATAGACACAGGATAGCTTGGATGCTGGATGGGGGGCGGAAGGGGGACAGACACAAGAAGGGGGAGGGGAATGGAAGAACAAGGCTGATGGGAGAACAGTTAGGCAGGTTCACATGGGTTAAGTGGGACAGAGGTAAATGATGAGGTATGCACAACCATGGAACAACATGGCTCAGGTATACAGGGTTTGAGGCATGGTTTGAAGGAGTAAAAGAGGGAATATAATGTTAAGATGCCTAGATGTCTTTTGAATCTTGGTTTCCCTTGCCTTCCACTGTAAAACAGACACTAGAGGTGGGGGGGGAAGAAAGGAATAATTAGAATATCACTACAGAAAGCTTGTAAGTCCGTCTTCAGCCTACAGCTGATTGGAATACCTTAAAGGGGGATGGATATAAGTTGCCCAGTGAAAGAGGCTTCCTGTGGAGCCTTTACATGTCATAAGACCATAGGTAGAATCCAGAACCCCATCCAGAATGGTCTGAGGTAGGAAATTTCCACTGGAAAGGACAAGTAGACCACCCTAGAGTGGTCAGACGAACAGAAGATACTTTGTGAAAGAAAGACCAGCAGGAAAAATCCGAAACAAAAATGGCAGTCTGATTGATTACTACAAGAACAAGTAAGATGTTCACCCAGGAGCTATCAAGGCAAGTGGTCAGGACTCCTCAGAGCAAACCCCCTCCCAAGACTGAGACTCAAGGGGAATACATGAGCAGGTAGGTGGTCTGGCTAGTGACCATACTGATCACCGATTAAGGGGAAGAGGGGGAAAAACAGCAATGAAGTTGGGAGCTAAGTCCAACCACATTCAATAGACCCCTGTGAACCCAGGTAGAGACCTGGATGTCCAGCAGTACAGCAAGACCTGGGCACTCCTAGGCCCAGAGGCAGTGACAATGCCACAGAGTACTAGAGTGGAGAGTGATGCATCCAGCTAATATGAAGTGAGGGGAGAGATGCACAAGAACACCCATACTTGCAGACAGTACCCACTTGAACTGGCTTTGATGACTGGGTGATAAGAACTCGACAAGAAAAATAAAGAAGAGGGGGGGAAAAAAGAGTAACCTGCTATAATTTGATGAACTTTACCTATACTTATGGATGTAATAGCTCAAAAAAGGGAAAAATCTTTACAGTGAGGATCATTCCTAATCCCTCGGTACACAGGGTTGACAGGGATGGGCAACTTAGACATCGGCTACCCAAAATGCGGGCGGGGCAAGAAGTGACTGGCTTACAAGCTTTCAAGAGGGAGCCTAATTCCAGACAGGGCGGGGGAAGGTAGAATCTCCACTGAATGATTTCCAATCTGTTGGGACTGGGGCTGGTGAAAGGAAATGGGGATAAGACTCTTGTGGTACAATGTTGTTGTTGTTAAGTGCCGTCAAGTCAGTTCCGACCCATAGCGACCCTGTACAGGGTTTCCAAGGGTGTAAATCCTTACGGGAGTAGAAAGCCTCATGTGAATAATTTTCATCAGGACTGACTGTGAGGGTAGGAAATATAGAGGTAGATGTTTTTTGACAAAAGGAGGGAGTGATTGATTTTGCAACCCAGGAGCAGAGGTCCTTGGGACCATCAAGTGAAAAGAGTGGAGAAAGGAACCCTACCCAGAGAGGCAGAGACAGAGGGATGCAGGCAGAGATGATGACATGGACAGATGGAGCAGCTGGGGACAATGAACTCAGGGAGGGAGGGGGCTGTGTGCAGGGGGTCGGGCCTGTGGGGTGTACTCTTTGGTTATCTGATGATGAATGGAGGGGACTGTAATCATTGCAATGAAATTAAATACAATAGGATGACTGTAAAACTGATATTCTTCCAAGTAAACCTCAAAATAAAACTTGTAATTGAAAAAAGAAAAGAAACAATCTATGATGGTTACTGGGAGAAGAGAAAAAATTATTCACAGGCTAGATGGCAGACATGTTAATATGGGTGACAAGGCAGATATATACAAGAG